AAAAAAAAGAATTCATGAGGCTTAGCAGTGCTTAACCACTCCTACCATTTAAGGAGCTTTCCAGAAATTCATTCAACTGCTTGTTGGTGTTAGATGAAATGCTTTTTCCCTTTTGATAAGTCATTGAGGTAAATCCTTGGTCCCAAACTTACTCTGTGGCATCCAGCTGGGATTGTATTTAGTCTTCAGTCTAAAGTGCAGAAGAGGGCTCTGTTAAGTTTAAGTTGGGGCAAAGACATTAGACTATTAGTAATTACTAGAATATTAATTTTAAAAAAGCAATTATTTTTTATCCTCTGTGACTAGGTGATATTTTGTACATACAAAAATAGGAATGGTAGGACAATATGATGTTTGATGTTTTGTGCTTCCTTTATTTCCAAATTTATTTTTTTTAATTGACATAAAATTGTTTGTATTTAATCATATACAACACAATGTTTTAAAATACAAATACGTTGTGGAATGGTTAAATTTAGTTAATTAACGAATGCATAACGTCACATAGTTACCATTTTTTGTGGTGAAAGCAATATTCACTCAGCATTTTTCAAGAATACAATATATCATCATTAACTGTAGTCACCATGCTAAACAACAGATCTCTTGAACTTATTTTTCCTAGCTAACTGTATTTATGTATCTCTTGACCAACACCTCCCCCACCTCCTTTCCCCTCTAATCACCCCAGGCTCTGGTAACTCCCGTTCTACTCTCTATTTCTATGAGATCAACCTTTTTAGATTCTGAGTGAGGGAGATCATGCAGTGTTTGTCTTTCTGTGCCTGGTTTATTTCACTTAACATAACGTTTTCCAGAATCATTCATGTTGTTGCATTCTTTTTTAATGCCTGAATAGTATTCCATTGTGTATATATAGCACATTTCTTTATCCATTTATCCATTGATGGACACTGAGGTTGATTCTGTAGCTTGGCTATTGTGAGTAGTAGCAATAAATATGGAAGTGTAGATATCTCTCTGACTACTGATTTTATTTCCTTTGGATATATACCTAGTAATGGGATTGCTCAATCTTATGGTATTTCTATTTTTAACTTTTTGAGGAGCCTCCATACTGTTTTCCATAATGGCTGTGCAAGGGGTCTTTTTTCTTCACATCCTAGCTAACAGTTGTTTTCTTTCATCTTTTTCATAACAGCCATTCTAACAGGAGTGAGGTGATATCTCATTTTGATTTGCATTTCCCTGATAATTAGTGATGTTGAACATTTTTTCATATATCTGAATGCCATTTGTATGTCTTCTTTTGAGGAATGTCTGTTAAGGTCCTTTGTCCATTTTTTAATTGGGTTGTTTGTTTTCTTGCTGTTGGGTTCTTTGGGTTCCTTTTATATTTTGATTATCAACCCCTTATCAGATGTACAGTTTAGAAATATTTTCTCCCATTCTGTAGGTTCTCTCTTCACTCTTTTGATTGTTTCCTTTGCTGTGCAGAAACTTTTTAGTTTGGTATAATCCCATTTGTCTATTTTTGCTTTTGTTGCCTGTGCTTTTGAGGTCATATTAAAAAAAAAATCATTGCCCAGACCAATGTCTTTGAGCTTTTCCCCTGTGTTTTCCTCTAGTAGTTTCATAGTTTTGGGTCTTACATTTAAGTCTTTAATCTATTTTGAGTTGATTTTTGCATAGGGTGAAAAAAAAGGGTGCTTCTTTTGTTTTCTAACCACTTGTTGTTAGGGGTGGTAAGGACAGAAACAGCATGGGGTACAAGTTACAACAGTGAATGGAAGACAGAGACTAGCTCTATTCTGTGACCCCTTAAGGTGGTCCTATCCTTGGGAAGCTCTTGGTTGGAGATGGTTTCCATTGTGGGGAACTTGATCCCACTTCACTGGAGAACAACTTGAGAGAAAAGAGGAGGGAAGAATGAGATATGCTAGATAGGGAGCCGCAGAGATGGAGTGAGAGACTTTGGAGGGGAAATGAGTTGTCAGAGTGAATCATCTTGAAAGTATATGGAAAGGTTTGCCATGTTCCTGGCATTCCCTGTGTCATCTCAGATTTGCCCTGTTGTGAGCTCTACTTCTCCGCCTGTTTTTCACACGGGAGGTATTCACAGTACTGAAGAGCTGGCTGCTGATTAAACATGAGAGGCCAAGCTTAAAGAGGAGGGCAAAATCTATACCCATAAAAATAATGATTATTTTGTACTTTCTGGAAATAAGATAAGGAAGTAACATAAGATATTGAACTATTTTTACTTCTGTATTTTTCCGATCCAGACACCTATTTATTTCTAAGGCACCAAGTATTTTAGAGGGTAAACCAGGAAATGTTTATGTTCAGTGTCTCATGAGTTCAAAGTAAATTCTTTAAACAAGTTTTAAGAAAAGATTGAGTCTCTTTTTATGACCTCAGATTTAAAAATTTATCAAGCCAAAAGTGACTGGGTAAGTAGTTGTGGCTGCTGCATGTAGATCATTTCCACCCTGGGCCTTGCATCTAGCAGTAGATGCTCATGGTGGAAGTGATGGGACCAAGGACCTAAGTATTTTTTCAGGAACATTCTCTTCCTTTTGACTGTATTGCTGGTAAACACATTAAAACCTTCTAGAGTTTTCTTTTCCTTTTCTTTGCCTTTTTGTTGCAATAGAAGATTTAACTGATTTTTTTTTTAAAAGTAACGTTTAAAAAAAAGAAGTAATCTTTTGAGGTAAGAATAGCTTCTTTTGAAGTCTTTAGATGCTGTTATTTAAATCTCAGAGTTTTACTATTCTTAATCGATTGGGCATTTACATGAAAGTCTTAAAGTTTCATCTCTCCATCCAGGATTAGATATTTTGAAACAAAGTTATGGCAGAAACGTGGACATTAGGTCTAGTTTCTTGGGATGGAAAGACTCTCCAACTAAGAGCCTCCAAAATATCTATATCAGAAATGTTGACTTTCAAAGCTACATTTAAAACCACATAACAACTGAGTATACTTTACAAAACCCATGCATTTCAAAATGCCATTCATTCCCTGTCAGTTTTTGTTTGGTTACAACTGTGTTCGCTTAGAATGAAGAAGATCACATAAACAGGTCAGTTGCTCATTTTGTATCCCCAATAGTTTTATGGTTTTATGACAAATTCAGCCAACCAGAATTAAGGTACATGGTGAAAGATTTTCACTCAATAATTACTAGAAACAAATAGTTTCAACTAGAACTCAATCCAAATGGATTGTTCAGACTTTATGGAGGGAAAGTAGGGAGGTACGATGATACTAATGATGGCTGTAAGAGCATCAGGCCTACCCATGAGGAATTAGGAAAGATTCTCTTAGGGGTAAAAATTATATTGACTGAATTACAGTTCGGAAACTGCTGAGAGACTGGTATTTTCATCATGTGTTAAATATGTCTTCTCTCTTTTGTACTTGATTAATCTTGTTCAAGATTTCTGTTTTTCACTAGGTTTTTCAAAAATGAGCTTTTGGTTTTCTTGCTCACATTTGTGTTATATCTATTTATTTTCTATTTCATTACTTTCTGCTTTTGTCTATAATTTATTTCCTTCTATTTTCTTTGGGCTAAATTTTTTCTAGCTTTTTGAGTTGAATTATTAGCTTCTGTTTTGAATCTACTTTGCTTTCGAAAAAGTTTAAGACTTTTCAAAAAAAGAAGACTTTCCTTCTAATTACTGCTTTAACTTTATTGTACAAGTTTTAATATGTAGTGTATTTATCCACTTCTATATGTTTCATTACCTACTTAGAAATGTACTATATTTGTTTCCACAGTTTTTTGGTTTGGGTTTTTTTTTTTTTTCTTAGCTTTCTTTGATTTATAAATTTATTGTGGTCAGAGAAATTGGTTTAAATAAGGTTGATTGTTTAATAATTTTCTGAGACTGTCTTTGTGGCCTAATATATAGTTAATTTTTATAATGTTCCACATGTGCTTGAAAAGCATGTATGTTCATATTTGTGATTTGTGTAGCAGCTTTTTTATAGTAAATGTTATTTCCCAGTACTGAATTTTCTGTTTCAAATTCTCACACGGCCTTGTTTTTTCTGTTCTTTTCAGGAAGCGGACACAGATGAGAATCAGGGAACTTTGACATTTGAAGAGTTCTGTGTTTTTTACAAAATGATGTCATTGAGACGGGACCTTTATTTGTTGCTCTTGAGCTATAGTGATAAGAAAGATCACCTAACTGTCGAAGAACTGGCTCAGTTTCTGAAGGTGGAGCAAAAGGTATCATTAGACAGTTGAATTGAATGTTTACTTAATACTTGTGAAAGATACGTGACTTGGCTTTTGGGGTTGGATATAGGTATACTTTAGGACAGAGGGGTAAATATCACAGGTTTACAAAAATCTTGTCTATGAGTCATTTAAAACATGTTTCCAGCAGCTTTTAAGAGAGGAAATGATAAATAAAACACTGGCTTATATAATTTTTTACCTTAAATATATTGAGTATGGATATGCATATTTTCCCACAAAGAAATGAATGTTAATTAATGTGTTTTATTTTATATACAATGGTAATGTTTTCTTTATACTAACACTACAAAGTATTAATAATATTAGTATAAATCTATACTTTATATTTACTGTATTAGTATAAATTAGTATTAGATAAATAAATTTGTGTATATGTAAGAAATGAATTTATATTTATGCTAATAATATAGCTAGATATTTAATAATTATGACATAATTCTTAACTAGCATTATAGTAGGTCACTGATAATTCTGATAGGAAACTGACATTTGGTCAGGTGAAAAGGCTAAATAAGTTAGGTCTGATTAGTGAAGGGAAACCCGAAATATATTTAAAGTCATATATTTTAATTTTAGTACTGTATAGGCTGAACTGTGATCAACAAGGCTAGTCTTCTACTGCTTTTTTTCAATATCTCCTTGAACTCCATTTGTTTCTCACGGAAGTATAGAATAAATGAATTTTTTTTGAAGTTTGTTAACATTTTATATTAAACTTTTTAGGAGGAGGCTTTTGATTTTCCTGCACTTGATGAACTTTACTTTCAATTTTTTTTTAGATTTATGGACTCATCATAGTCTTAGTAAAAAGAGCTGTTTATCTCTATTTTAAGTCAAAGGCATTTAATGCTGTTGAAATTGTAAAGAATCATCAAATATTTGGACAATACGGTATGATAATCAGTAGAAAGAATCCTTCCTACAGTGCTTGCACAGATAATCAGCCAGCCTGTACTTGAACACGTCCTTCTTTTAACAGTTTCATTGAGATGTAATTCACATACCATAAAATTAATCCTCTTTTTAAAAAAATAAGAACAATCCCATAGCATTAATTGTCATCTGGTAATAACACAAGGGTAATCAAAACAGTAGGAACAAGTGTTTTAGAACTATACTCCCAAAACAGGGCACCTGAAAAAACAAACTGTATTGCTTTCTCAACAATTCACTTCATAGATTATTTCTAGTTGGAAACACTTTGTAGCAGAGTAACATTATCTCCTTTTCACATGATCCGACCCAGTTGTTTTCTTGACTTTGTTTTACAGTGAATCTCTTCTTCATCATCTAATGCAGGGTTCATATACTCATGAAAACGAATGATACAGCCCTCTCTCTGCATGTTCACTTGCTTGTAGAGCCACACCTGAACCCGGGATCTATTTTGTAGATATCTAAAGATGAGGTTTATGCATTGTACCATCAACATCTGCACTTTTTGGCCGTGGCCACTGGTACACTGTGGTGGAATCTCACAAAGACCGCACTGACGTGTATGCTACCTTAGAAAGCAAATTCCAGAATTAACCCTTTTCAGGTGTACAATTCAGTGGTTTTGGTATATTCCAGGGTTGTGAAACTGTCACCACTATAAAATTTCCGAACATTTTTAGCATCCCAGGAAGAAACCCCATACCCATTAGCAGTCACTTCCCATTTTTCTCTCCTTCCAGACCTTAGGCAACCACTAATCTACTTTATTTCTCTGTTGGTTTGTCTAAATTCTGGACATTTCATATAAAGGGGATCATATAATATGTTGCCTTTGTGATTGGCTTCTTCCATTTAGCATAACGTTTTTGAGGTTAATCCATGTTGTAGCACGCAACAGTACTTCATTCCTTCTTATTGCCAAATAGTATGTGATTATACGAATATACCACATTTTGTTTATCCGTTCATCAGTTGATAAATGGGTTGTTTCCATTTTTTGACTATTATGAATTATGCTGCTATGAACATTCATGCACAGGTTTTTGTGTGAACATGTTTTCTGTTCTCTTGGGTACATACCCATGTGGAATTGCTAGGTCATACAATTTGAGTGCTTAAAATTTGAATTTGGATACTGAAAGGACTTCATGTGAACCAGAGGAAACTTCTACAATGGAGCCTGAATGAGTAGAACACTGAATTAATATTTGAATATTAGAAGGAGATAAATTTCCACTAATTCTAAGAAGTATAGCTGACCAAGGATGAACTAGATGGCTTTGGGAATTGTGAGTTTTCTTCCTTGAAGGTGTTAACAGAAGGTGGGGATGTTATTAAGGAGATTCAGCATGGGTGGGTACTTGGATTAGTAAAATTTCAGTTTAATTCATTTATTTGTATAAACACATACTAAATATCCCAGGCGTTGTGCTGAGTTTTGAGAATGAACAAAGCTTATCCTCAGAGAACTCAACATAGATATATTTTTTGGTACTTTATAATTTTGAGAGTCTGTGATAAGGGGAAAGATAATGCTAAGAAGTAAAACAACATACTCTTTAAGGTTTTCTGGGTTTTCTCTTTTTGAGGCAGATTAAAATTTATTAAAATTATTGTGCTGTATTATTTTTTTTTCTGGACCTCTTGCTTCTTTAAAAAAAGTACCTTTGTTAAGATACTAAACATTAATTAGTAATATATTGTTAGTATACACACAATTATGCTCACTTAGTTTTGGTACTAATTTGAATTAAATAGAGTTTTTGAAGTGATTCTAGAGTCATTCAACTCTTAACATTCTTTAATTTTCTCCTACTTAACCCAGAAAATTATTAGTTACACTTGGCATAGGCTAAAACCTATTTGGCATTTGTAATCTGAGCTGGTAGTTGCTGCTTGCAGATTTGTAAGTCGCGAAAAGTTCAAAATCTGCTCTGATTAAGGTAGACAAATATTTTCATAGCATTTAAATGCAATTTTTGAATTTTTTCTCATGTGTAGATTAATTTGGTGATCAGATTATTCAACTTTTTGCTTTAGCAAGAAGGAAAAAATAAAGTGTTTGATAAACCAAATCCATATAATTATTTGCTTATCAATGAGCTTTAGGATTAAATATTTTCATGCTGTTTGAAACATGTCTCCATTATGCTGTATGAAATATTTGTTTCAGCTTATAATTAAGAAAGCAGTGAGTGAATTATTAGTTATCATTAAACAAATCATTTTTGGTGCTAATATGTAGCTATAGAAGGATAACTTAGAGTTGGTTTGATTAGCATTTCTTTGGATGGCAAGGACAAATATTTTTCCATGCGTTTGTTTCTTAATTACATTTTTGAACTTTGTGTTAAAGGCCCTTTGGAATTAAATGCATACAGGAAATGTATACAGAAAAATTATATGCATTCTGTACTGTTTTTCTGATTATTGCATGCATGTGTGTGTGAGAGAGAAACAGAGACAGACTGACAAATAGCAGAGACAGACTGATGTTCCCCTATCAGTTCCATGTAGAGATCTACTGTGGTAAATGCCATTAAAGAATAAACCAGTGTTTTTCTGATTATTGCATGCATGTGTGTGTGAGAGAGAAACAGAGACAGACTGACAAATAAATAGCAGAGACAGACTGATGTTCCCCGATCAGTTCCATGTAGAGATCTACTGTGGTAAATGCCATTAAAGAATAAACCACTAGCACAGCACTGTTAGCTCTCACTTGAGAGACTACAGTACTTAAGTAGGAGCTAGTTCTAATGCCTTTCTTGATGTCTCTTTCAAACTCTCAAAGTTAAATGCCTTAAACATGTTTTCTGACAATGTGTTTCTTTTATTCTGTTCATCAGTTGTTCTAATCACCTCTTTGCAAGCAGGTTAGCACTTCATTTGGAGTGAATGGATTTTTTTTTTTTTTTAACTGGACTATGTGTTAGAATGGTATTGAGCAGAACTGGGGATACAGCCTTGCTGCCTCTGTGACTTTGATCCCGTTAACCTTTCATCCTTGATTTGGTGAATCGTATAGTGCTTCTGGTAGTAACATTGCCCTTGCAAGACTACTGTTAAGAATTAAATGAGATGTGGATGAAAATTCTTAGAGCATTCCCTGATTTATTAGCTGCTAAATAAACATTCACATTTATTTAGTAGCACAGATCTGGCCATTTTCAAGGAGCTATGTGAGACTGCAAGTGGACAGGTAGCTACATATGCACTTGTCTGTACACTTCCATAGGGGAGGAGGAGTATCTTTTCCTCACCCATTGTTAGGTTCATGGCTGAGGCCCCTATAACAAAAGAGAGATTAACAAAAGAAAAGCATATGAATTTATTTAATAAGTTTTACATGATGTAGGGGAGACTTCACAAGGAAATGAAGACCTGAAGAAACAGGTAAACCTGTGTATTTTTCATACTAATTTTGATGAACAGTGGGCAGTAGAGAAATATGATTGGAGGACAAAAAGGTAGGATCTAATTGTAATAAACTGGGGGAACTTAGCAAGGCCTGTTCAGATTCTTCTTGGTGTTTCTGTGTCTTGGGCTCCTTTCCTCCAAGTTTAGGGGAGGCACATTTTGAGTGAAGGTCTTATGACCTGCTTCAGGGAAAGATCAGAAGATTCTTTCTGGGTTTTATGACCTGCTTAAGGGGAGAAGGGCTGCGGGGGGGTCGAGAGACCTTTCTGCTTCTGTTTTCTCAAATGCTGAGGTGCTGTATTTTGGGTAGCATGTCTGAACCCCATCAGTTCTATACATGACTAGGATTTTCTTCTAAATTACTTCTTTGCCTCTCCCCTCCCACATCTGTCATGATGACCAAAAAATATATTTGGTCTTGTTCCCAGTTCTTGGCATAGAACTGCTAAAACACTTGGAATTTCCTGAGTGATAGGAATATCTTTTGTTATTTATAATGAGCCCCTTTCAACCAAACCCGAGTTTATGCTAATGAGGTGACTATTGATGGATCCCTAGATCATCTTGGGATGGGGCTGGTAGCCAGAGGAACCAACCAGGTGATTAGAGGG